AGAACATGCTTGTAAAAAAATCAAGTTAATCGGATATCGTTTACCCATTCATCCACTTACATTTGTATCTATAAAAATAAATAATAATTGTGATTTAAATTATTAAAATGAATATAAATGTTAGTGGATGAATAGACAAATGATATCTGAATAACTTGATTTTTTTACAAATATGTGCTATTTGATGTATTCTAAAATGTGAACGTTTTGGATTATCAAAGTGGGTCTTGAAATAGGTCCATTTTACTGCACAACAGTTGTTGCGCGGGCTTCGTAGCAGCATTCCTAATTTTTTTTAACTCATATTTTAACTAAAAAAAATTAAAAAATTACTAAAATAGTAGCCTCGTGTAAGCTGATTTTAAGTGCTACGGCTCCTTAACCTAATCCACAGTCCCAAAACATCTCATTCATTTTACGAACTCTGTGTCTCCGTCTTGCTCCTCTTCACCTTGCCGATTGCCGCCGCCGCCGCCAGCTAGTCTCCTCTCAGATCGCCATACAGCTTGCCGATTTGGTAAGTCTCTCTTTCTTTCTCTTTCTGCTCTCTCTCTCTCTCTCTCTCCCTCCCTCCCTCCCTCACTCTGTTTCTTTTTTCTTGTTTTTTGCTGACCTGATTCTGTTTATTGTGAAGTTGTGAGAGGTTGAAAAATTCTTATATTTGATGAACATTGAGTGATTTTAACAATGTACTGACTAAATATTCTACTGTCAAGTAATATTCTTCTTTAAATTGTATTCTAATTGCTTGATTAGAGTTTTGTAAAAACATTTTTCAGAAAATTTTATTTTCTTTTTTTTTTTTTTGTTTTTATTGAATTTTTTAATGTTTTAAGTATTTTTTTAATTTTTAAACATACCTAACATAAATATACTTTAAAAAGTAAAAAAATTGTGAATTTTTAAAAAAATTCACTAAATACCAAAAATACAAAAAAAAAAAAGAGAATTCAATATATTTTCTTTGTTTTTTTATATATTTATTAATTTTTTAAAATATTTTTTCACATTTTTTTTATTTTTTAGATACATCTAAGTAAGTAAAAAAATTATTTAAAATTTTAAAAATTTCACTAAAAAAATACGAAAATCAAAAAACTCAATTTTTAAAAAACTTAATCCAAAAAACTCAAACTCAATTTTTATTTTGTACTAATAACTGGGTAAGAATGATTATTTAATTTTTTTTGGTGATAAATTGGGTAAGAATGATTATTTTATTTTTGGATGATAAAAAAATTCGTCTATATATATGTATAGGGAGCAGCTTGCCTCTGGTCTTTAATCGGACTGGACGGTACTGTTCTGCCTGTAAGGGCTATCACGAGTCCTGTTTTAATAATCCAAACCACTGAATATGTAGAACTTGTCGACTATCATATGCATGTAAAAAATTACGTTGATCGGATATCGATAGTTATGTGATCAAATCAGTTTTATATATAAAAAAAAATGGACGGTGAACAAATTAACGGTCGACAAAAAACTGATAAGATGAGATAGCTATCGATATCAATCAGAGTGATTTTTTACAAGTATATAGTACCCGACGAGTTTTACACATTGAACGGTTCGGATTATCAAAACGAGATCCATGGTAGGTCCTCACAGGCCGAACAGCACCGTCCAGTTCGATTAAGGACTGGAGGCAAACTGCCCCCATATATATATATATATAAACCAACAAATCTTATCAACTTGAAAAGAGAGATTGTGGTGGTACACTTTTTTTTTTTTCCTTTTTTTTTCACTTGGAAGGTTTAGGCAGTGGTTTTGGATTGTTATTATATAATTTGTTTGGATTGTTGGAATTTTAATTTGTTAGTTTGTCAACGTTGAATGTTAGATGAATGGATATCTATTTTAATTTTGACTGGTTCAGTTGATTTATAAATTAATTTTTTAAAAAATATTTGATTCAAGTTTTGTAATTTGAATTAAGTTTTCTATAATTCGCCAAACCTCCCGGACTGCCAAGTTGAAACTGTTGTTATTTGCCAACTAATTTGTCGGTTTTTGATAGAAAAATGGTGGTTTCTAATGACAAATTTGTCAATCTGCCACCCGCCGCGTGATTTCTCTTTTACGCTTAAACAACACTAAATCACACTGCACACACACCTACTTATCACTACCTGATCTCTCAATGATTTCTTCAGTCTCAGTCATCCATGTCGGCGGCTACTTCCTTCTCTCCCTCAGTGGCAGCCGCTGCTGGTTCTGCATCTTCGTCCTCCAAAACCCTGAAGCCTGCCTCCAAAACCCTAGGTTTCAATCTTGGGTTTCTCTCATCTTCGTCTTCGAAGACAGCTTTGAAATCTCTCAAAGCTCAAGTCATGCTTGGAAATAGGGTTGGGTTAGGCTCAGCTCTAGGAGCTCGCATGGACTCCATGCCCGAGATGACTTCACTTGATTTCGAAAGCTCAGTGTTCAAGAAGGAGAAAATTACTCTTGCTGGCCATGACAAGGTGTTTTCTCCATTTCCTCACTTGCTCTCTCAACATTTCTCTCTCTCTCTCTCTCTACACTTGCTCTCTCAACATTTCTCTCTCTCTCTCTCTCTATATATATATATGTGTGTGTGTGTGTGATGATTGTGTTGTGCATTTGTAGTATATTGTTAGAGGAGGGAGGGATCTGTTTCCATTGCTACCTGATGCCTTCAAGTGCATTAAGCAAATTGGTGTTATTGGCTGGGGTTCACAGGTATTGGTGACTCCTTCACTACCTTGATCTTGTAACACTTCTGATTATTGTTATTAGTTTTTAGTTTATTTTATTTATGTGATTATTGTATTTTACTATTCCTATGTTTGTAGAGTGAAAACCAATGGAGCAAAATGTTAAAATATAATATTCAAGATTGAATTTAATGTTTATTGCACAGGGCATGATGGGTATATATATATATATATATATATTTTAGTTTGGGAAAAAGGGAAATTGAAATATTTGTTTCCAAAAAGGTAAACTTGGTTTAGCCAAGTAATGCATGATTTAGATATCTTCACGCCACAAGCAATAGAGAACTCAAACCTTCGAATTTTTAACTCAAGTTTTGTGTTTTGCCGAAGTTGGAAGATGAGAAAAAAGAATTAGATGCTCTTATTTCATTCACATTGTCATCTTTTTCCTTTTTCATTTTTCTTTCCAAATTTCTATTCAAATCCATAATTCAAAACACATCATTAGGATTTATTATAGGGGTTCGAATTCTCTCAATTTGGCTATCCAACTTGAGAGAGCGTTTGAGCTTTGTGGGCCCATTTTGAGCTCGATGATGATTCGAACTGTTCGCTTTGTAGTACTCGTTTGAGTAGAATATTCATCTAAAAAATCCAGATGATCGGATATTGGTTGCTATATATTTGAATTACATTTGTTTTAAAAAAATGGACGACAATTATAATTTCAAGAATAACGATCCATTTTTTGTAATACAAATGTGATCCAAACATATATTTACTAATGTTTTATCATTTTATCTTTTGCATGAATATTCTACCCAATGTGTTCTAGAAAGTGAATGGTTAGGATCACCAAGGTTGGCTCCAAAAGGGGCCTGCCAAGACCAAATGTTCTCTTAATTGAGATGGCCAACTTGAGAGAATCCAAACCCTTATTACAAAACATTATGGAAGTTGGAAAATTATGTTCATTTACATTGTTGTTTTGAAACTCTAAACAATGGTAAAGCCTCGATTATCTATCAAAATGCGCTTCTTTTCATGATCTTAACATTTTCCTTGTTCTATTGGAATAAATGGTGCATTAAGTTTTGTCCTATTTTGATGTCAGCTTGTAATTTATATTGTTGTTTCACACTATCAACAAAATCATCCACAACTTTCATATTGGACCCTTCAATTCCTGAAGCAAATTCACTGAAAGCTTGGTAATTACTACTATAATGTAATATTTTACAATATTGAACTCTTTGTTTTTTGGTTAAATACAATATTCAGGTTTACTTATACTTATTTACAATTATGATATTTAGGTACATCAGCCATAGCAATGCCATCAAAAAAATTCCTCTTCAGAGAGTCCAACAAATTGCAACAACACAATCTCCACCACCAACTCCAGACAAGCTGATTCAACTAAAAAATCTTCCAACATTTGTTATATTTCATATTATAGTAATTTCATCAATCCTAAATTTTTAGTCAATTTAAAATTGATAACCAATAAACTCATAACAATACTAACAATTAAGAAACAATTAAACTATAATTTATTTTTTATTTTTTATTATTTATTGATTTGATTTTGGACTGAGGAAATTAATGCAAAAATATAGTGATTTTGATATTGGCCTGATACATTAGTAAATGCATTTGTTGGCATTGTTTTGTATAACTTGTTGTGAGTGAAGGGATATATTGGTAATTTTGTCCAAATGTGCAACATTTTCCCTCTATTTGGTTGGATTAATGAATTTTCATACTCTAAATTCAATTTATTAGTGCTGTCATGAATGTGGGATTTTAATAGATGAACATTGTTAATAAGGATATCTATTAATACAATGAGAAACATCATTCTTTTTCATTTTAGGGCCCTGCTTAGGCACAAAATCTGAGGGATTCTCCTGCAGAAGCAAAATCAGACATTGTGGTCAAGGTGTTGTTTGCATTACTTTTGATATTATATTTATTTCTCCCTTTTTGTTCTGTGAATTGGTCTATCTTAACATGTTTGTTGTGTTTGCTTTGTAATACAGATTGGTCTCAGGAAGGGTTCTCGTTCCTTTGCTGAGGCACGCGCTGCTGATTTTAGTGAAGAGAATGGAACCCTTGGTGACATATGGGAGACAATATCTGGCAGTGATTTGGTGCTGCTCTTGATTTCTGAGGCTTGTAGATTGTAAAGTTGACGTGATGTTGCTACATGATTATACATTCTGAGAGAACCCAACTAATTTGGAAAAAAAAAAAGCTTATGGTTATACATTCCCATGCTTCTCCATTGCAACTACCAGGGTTTTAAGTAAGAAAAACTAAGAATATGATCCTAAAACTGTAACTAACTTTGTGTGCTTCTTTAATGGTGCATATGAAATTGTGTCCTCTTGAAATTTTAAAATCTAGTATCTTTTTCTTTCTTTTTATTTTTATTTTTATTGCTGAATGTAGAAGAAATCACTACATATAAATATTATTAGTTTCTCTGTTCTTGCTTTTTGTGCTTCAAAATTTAAGTATAGCATTAAATTAGTGAATTCTTATTCCTAAGCCTACCTTCACAGCTATTGGGGTTTAAGAGGGAATGTGATCTATGTATTTGTTAGCATCGTCTTGATGCTCTTTTTCTCATAAAGTTACTCCTATTTATTCCAAAAAAAGAAAGAAAAAAAAGAGTGAATATGATCTATGAATTCATAACTTCTGCACTTTCTCTTTAATGCTGCATCTAGAAGATATTGAATTCTGCCAAATCTGCTGCTCCTGATGCTGGATGTGAAATAACTTGCATCATCCAGAAAGCTAGCAGGCTCTCCTATTCCTGGTCTTGCTTTCTGTGCCATGTGTAATAGGTACAGTGATCAAATGATGAATCTCTTCAATTATATGTTGTGAGTATATGAATGCAAGATGACAGATAATTTAGATCTATAAAATCTTAAATTGATATTAGTGGCTTGCATATAGTCTATTTTAAAGAACAAAAAAAGCCAGAATATTTATCAAAATGACAGAATTCATTGAAAGAAGGATCAGGGATCCTTCAAAGAGGAAGAAAAGCAAAAAAAAAAAAAAAAAAAAAAAACAACTCAGTGCAAGTGAAGGCCAAATAGAGGTAAATATAAACAAATCATGCACCTAGTAAAAAAAAAGGAAAAAGAAGTGACTTGTCATAATAATGACAAGATTATGAGACTTAGTTGGACTGTAGTCAATTTAGGCCTAGTAATGATGAATATAATGGTGTTGGTTAGATGATTTGTACATTTTAACATGATGTGGGTGTGTTATGTTCTTTATTCTATTCAGTCCTCTTGTACTTGTTCTTAATTTCAATATTAATTGCAGGCTGATAATTATGAGGAAATATTCACCCACATGAAGCCAAACAGCATACTTGGGCTATCCCATGGGTTTCTTCTTGGCCATTTGCAGTCAATGGGTCTTGATGTCCCCAAGAACATGAGTGTGATAGCTTTATGTCCCAAGGGAATGGGTCCGTCTGTGAGGAGACTCTATGTTCATGGAAAAGAGATAAATGGTGCTGGAATAAATTCTAGTTTTGGCGTACATCAGGTATATATATATAAACCCTCTGTGTTTTCTTATTGCCTCTGTATGTTTCATTTGACTTAGCTACTCAACATCTTTGTGGACAGCATGTTGATGGCATGGCCACTGATGTTGCCCTTGGATGGTCAGTTGCCCTTGGTTCTCCTTTTACATTTGCCACTACACTGGAACAGGAATACAAGAGTGACATATTTGGCGAGCGAGGTGCTTGTGGTTTTCTTCATTATTATTTTGTTATTCACCACAATGCTATATCCAAGATCTGTTTGTTTTGATTCATAGGCATTTTACTCAGTGTTGTGCATGGAATTGTTGAGACCTTGTTCAGAAGGTATACTGAAAATGGAATGAGTGAAGATTTGGCTTACAAGAATACCGTTGAGTGCATAACAGGGAATATTTCGAAGACCATATCAACTCAGGTTAGTAATCAAAATCTTGGATTTCATCCCTTACAAGAAGTTTTGTGCCTCGATTCTTTATCAGTTTTGAAATTCTTTATCTTTTCAAAACGAGTATGTTTACCTAGCCGTATGCTGCTTGTTTTATTCCCTCTGAACAGGGCATGTTGGCGGTGTATAATTCATTGTCAGAAGATGGCAAAAGGGAGTTGGAGGCTGCATATAGTGCCTCTTACTATCCCTCCATGTGTATATTATATGAGTGCTATGAGGATGTAGCCAGCTGTAGCGAGATCCGGAGTGTTGTCTTGGCTGGGTGTCGCTTTTATGTATGTTTTCTATATTTTGCATACGTGTCAAAATATGGTAAGTACTATGCGTGTTATGTTATATACAGGCTTGTGAACCTTTGTGTTCTTTATGATGATGCTAAAAATTATTAGTGACATGAGATATTTTCTTACTTGTGTCGCTGAAAGCCTTTGCTTCCCCACCTCCCTCAAATCTTACAGGAAAAGGATGGGTTGCCAGCTTTCCCAATGGGTAAAATTGATCAGACGAGGATGTGGAAAGTAGGTGAACAGGTTCGAGCAGCACGTCCAGCGGGTGACCTAGGCCCTTTATGTTCCTTCACAGCTGGTGTCTATGTGGCATTAATGATGGCCCAGGTAAGCATTGTTCTACGTTAGTGTGTTGACTTTGGATTGTACTGTTAAAGGAGTCACCATGCACTGTACTTAAATTGCTAGGTTTGCTTTTAAAATAGTGTTCATTTAAGCATGGTCAATGAAGAAGCATGGTTTATTGGATAGATCTCTGTTAGGTTGAATCAAATAATGGCATCTTTTTTGAATTTGTGTCTAATTTTTATCTTATGGAACTTCACATGGTGAAAAGAAAGATATTTATATTGTAGAACACTAATATTGCACTGAGAATATTTGTTATCTTCAACCATTTGGTCTGACATAATCTTTATAAATTATATATATATATGAAAACAGATTGAGGTTTTGAGGAAGAAAGGGCACTCCTACTCTGAGATCATCAATGAAAGCATAATCGAGGCTGTGGATTCTTTGAATCCATTCATGCATGCCCGTGGAGTCTCGTTCATGGTTGATAACTGTTCAACCACAGCTCGGCTAGGATCCAGGAAGTGCGCTCCGTGTTTTGACTACATTCTGACCCAGTGGGCCTTTGTGGCGGTAGACAATGGTGATCCCATCAACCAGGACCTCATCAGCAACTTCTTGTCAGATCCCGTGCATGGGGCGATGGAAGTTTGTGCGCGACTGAGACCTACTGTTGACATCTCTGTGCCCCCTGATGCTGACTTTGTTTGGCCAGAGTTACGCCAATCTGGCAACTAGGTGTTGAAGGACAACATTTAGTTTGTGTTGTAGCTAGTTTCTGTTTAAGAGGAGATGTTTGAGGCAGAGGAGTTTTTTTTAAATCGTAGGAGCACCAGAAAAGGTTTGTCTGGTCTACTTTTGACTCTATTAATCCATATTTGTAAACTGCTTTGTGTTTTGTGCTTTTGCGAATGAATGAACGAGATATTATTATATGCTGTGTTTGTAATTTTGGGAAAAAATAAAATTTGAAGCAATGCTTGTGTAGTTATAATATAATTTAAGGTATTATTGGCAAAGTGAGGCGGTATAATTTTGAGATTGGATTGGCAATTTGGTGGGGCCCACAACTTAAATGGATTGTATTGAAAGTGGGTGAATTGAGGGAAAGAAACACATCATACTCCCCATGTATATATGAAGAACATGATTCAAAGGTTTCAATGGTTCTTTGGCCTATATGTATATATGCCAAGGCCGTGATTTAGTGCACAATGATGTACTACATACACATTCTTGCCATGCCCTATTAGTGAGCAAACAAGAGTTGTGGAGAAGCCACATTGACCAACAATATCTATAGTTTTACCGTCATTTACTTGTAATAGTCAACTTTATGCGGTGGGATATGAAGCATCCACAGCAATGCCGTAGAGGCTTTCCTTTGCATCAATATCTCTCTGCATGAAAATGTACCCTTCTTCACCTGAATTTGTTTCCCGTGAGTTTTTATTGGGGAATACTTGGTCCCATCGTTTGCAATCCCATAACCAATAGGGAATAAGTAAAGAACTCATGGGAACCGGAGGTGTCCCCTTTACTTTTGGTAATCTATCGTCTCTAATTATGTTCTATGCATCTTTTAATGGTATCAATGAGAATATACCTAAAACCCTGAGCCAATTGACAAATTTAAATGGTCTTGCATTGATGCAAAACAAGTTGGTTGGTTCCATTCCTTCCTCCATCTTTAATCTCTCTTCCATCACAGTTATTGATATAGTTGGGAACCAAATCCAGGGGACACTCCCTCAAACATCGAAATTACTCTTCCTAATCTTCAATGGCTTAACAGTGGACTAAACTTCTTTACTGGGTCCATTCCTATTTCAATGTCTGATGCCACCAAGCTATATCACCTTGACTTTGGAAGCAACAAATTTATTGGAAGAGTGCCTCCTTTGGAACATATGCATGATCTTGTACGATTAAACTTTCAATATAATAATCTCGGAATTGAAGAAGCTGCTGACTTGAATTTTCTCAACTTGTGGGTCCAAGCCACCAATTTGAACTTCCTTGATCTGAGCAGCAACAACTTTAGAGGGGTGTTTCCTGAATCTATCAGTAATTTCTCCACTAATCTTGGTAAACTTCGCTTGCAGAACAAGAAAATAGTTGGAAGCATCCTAACCAGAATGGGGATTTGGTAAATTTGCAGTTTCGCGACATGTCAAACAACCAATTCACAGTTAACATTCTTGCTGATATTGGGAAGCTTCAAAAGTTACAAAAATTGTATCTCTCAGCTAATAAATTCTATGGGGACTATGCCATGGTCTTTTGAAAATTTGACTTCATTAACAGCTCTTAGATTATCCGTAAATAATCTTCATGGCAGCATCCCATCAAGTTTGGGGAAATGCCAATATTTGGTGGAACTAAGTCTTGAGCAAAACGATCTTAGTGGTACCATACCCGGGGAACTTGTCAGCCTCTCATCATTATTGTATATAAACATGTTTCATAATGAATTGACTGGTTCCCTTTCAGTGGAAGTTGGAAATTAAAAAAATTTAGAGCAATTAGATCTTTCCAAGAATATGTTGTCTGGTGAAATCCCAAGTACTATTGGTAGCTTTGTAAAACTGAGATTATTATATATGGAGGGCAATAAATTTTGGGGAATCCTTTTATCATCTTTAAGTTATTTGGGAGGTATGGTGGAATTAGATTTCTCTCACAATAATTTCTTAGAAAAAATACCAGATTACTAACGTTGTGTTTGGTAAGGGGATTTGGGAAGGGATTTGGAAAAGAAGAGGGAAAATATAGGTGAAATGTGAATAAAATATACGTACATTTTACCTAATTTCACACACATATAGGTGAAATGTGAATAAAATATACGTACATTTTACCTAATTTCACACACTTTTTTCCTTTCTCTTTCTAAATCCTTTCTCAAATCCTCCAACCAAACACAACGTAAGGGGTTTTTGTCTTCTTACGAAAACTAGATCTATCATTCAATGATTTTGAAGGTGATGCACCAAAAAAAGGTGTTTTTAAGAATGCAACTGTAGTTTCTGTTGAGGGAATCACCAAGCTTTGTGGTGGAATACTTGAATTACAACTACACTGTTGCAACTCCAAAGGATTCATAAGGAAAATATTTTCTCTCACCTTGAAATTAATAATTCCCATATCTGTTGGGCTTCTAGGACTAATTTTGATGTTCTGTTTCTTATATTTTTGTTGGTTCAAAAAGACATCAAAAGTACCCTTTGTGATATCTTTACACTGTATTTGATTGGGGGATTTGAGAAGGGATTTGGAAAGAGAAAAGAAAAAGGTAGGTGAAATGTGAATAAAATATATTTACATTTCACCTAATTTCACACACCTTTTCCTTTTCCCTTTCCCTTTTCAAATCCCTTCTCAAATCCCCCCAACCAAACACGACGTTAGGGAACTCATTTTTGAAATTGTCCTATCAAAGTCTACTTAAAGCTACTGATGGCTTTTCTCCATCCAATTTGACTGGTGTTGGTTCGATGTACAAAGGAATTCTTAGTCAAAGTGAAAAGACTGTAGCAGTAAAGGTACTAAATCTTCAATGTCGTGGTGCTTCCAAGAGTTTCTTTGCTGAGTGTGAGGCCTTGAGGCACATCAAACATCGGAATCTTGTCAAGGTTCTCACAGCATGTTCAAGTGTTGACTATCACGGTAACGATTTCAAAGTTGTTGTTTATGAGTTTATGGTCAACGGTAGCCTAGAGGATTGGTTTACATGAAAATGAGAATGAAGATGAGGCACACGAGTACTCGAGGAATTTAGACCTTCTACAGAGGTTAAATATTGCCATTGATGTTGCTTCTGCACTTGATTATCTTCACAATCACTGCCCTTAACCAGTAGTTCATTGTGATCTCAAGCCGAGCAATGTTCTTTTAGACAATGAAATGACTGCGCAGGTAAGTGACTTTGGATTAGCAAGATTCCTTCCAGAAACCACCTCTTGTCTGTTCTGCAAATCAATCAAGTTCAGTTGGCATAAGAGAATCTGTTGGATATGCTACTCCTCCTGGTAAATATACCTCTTAGTCTTCTTCGTTTTCCTTTTTTCAACAGAATCTAAAGTTGATTCACACAACCAAGACTGCACTTTTTTAGTCATTGAAATAGAACAATGGTTCTGTGATTTCATTCCATACAAAGCACTATAATATTTTTTTGGCAGCTTCTTTCCAATTTATTACTCTCACATAAAATACAATGGATGAAAGAATGATTTCTAAAACTAAAACTATATTGAGAGACAGCTAGAGCTCACAAAGTCTAAACAATTAGACAAAAATTATATGGTTGGTTGAACGTATTAGATAAGAGGTGTGCCGTCGTATTGGTGGATCTCATAAGCAATTAACACGACGCACGTCTAAAATACAGTAACATCTGTTGGGATATATCTCCTTATTGGAGTTTGAGACCCAATTGGCTTTGGTTAAAGAAGTTTAATTTGGTTTGGTATTAGTTATAATATATTTTAATATATTATATCTAATTTTTGGAGGCCTAATTCAATTAGGTAACAATTAGCATTTGATTTCAAAACCCAAGATTCAATATATATATATATATATATTTTAGTTCTTTTAGAAGAGGTGTTGCGGCTTATACAGAGCAATTTCAAATCAATCAATTCGGTGGGAGTGCTTCAGGTATATTGCTTTGTGGAACAGCAGCAAATTGATTTCGATGAGATAGGCTTTGGTGCATCTTTGTTTGGGTGCTTTGGTGAAGTTGATTTGGGTTGTTATTTTGGGTCTTCTACAATTCTGATTTCGAAGATTTTTGTTCATCTATTTGGTGAAGTATTTCCTCTTGTTTATTTGTGATTATTTGGAATTCACCTAAGGGTGATTTTGTGAGACCATTCATGTCTCGTTTGTAATCGTTTGGAAACTTATTTGCTTGATAGTGGAATCGGATTTTGATCCCATGGATGTACCTCACATTGAGGGAACCATGTAAAAATTCTTGTGTTGCCTTTGATTTAATTTTTTCACATTAGTTTTTATTCCCATTGATTGATTTACTTGTGGGGAATCACATACTTTCCCTAATAACTGGTATCAGAGTTTATGGTTTATTTGAGTTTATTTATTTGTGTAAATCAATGGAGGGGAATGTGGGTCGTATGTCTAGTTTCAATGGAAGCAATTGGGTAACTTGGAAAACTAAAATGGAGGACCTATTATTTTGTAAAGATTTGTACGGACCCATTAAGGGTGATAGTGGCAAACCTGAGGGTATGACAGATGATAAATGGAATAGGCTTAATCGAAAAGCCGTTGGTATTATTCGTCATGACAATGTGTTTTATCATGTTGCTACTGAAACTTCGGCACATGATTTATGGAAAAAATTAGAAGATCTTTATGATAGAAAATCAGCCACAAATAAAACCTTTCTATTTCGTAAGTTGGTTAATTTAAAATATAAAGATGGCAGCCCAATTCCAGAACATTTGAATGAAATAAAAAGTATCGTTAACCAACTTGCTTCTATGAAAATTGTTTTTGATGATGAGTTACAGGCTTTGATGCTACTTAGTTCTTTGCCCGAAAGTTGGGAGACTTTGGTTGTAACAGTTAGTAATTCGGCACGCGATGGAGTTGTCACAATAGGCCAAGTCACTAGTAGCCTGTTGAATGAAGAAACTAGGAGAAAATCAGCGGGTTCCTCTCGTTCAGAAGCATTTGTTGTGAGAGACCGAAGCAAAACAAGGGAGAGGAGTAAGACTCCTCATGATCGTGATCAAAGCCGTGACAAATCAAAAGATGGTTCTTTTTCAAAGAAAGACATTGAGTGCTATTATTGCCATGAGAAAGGGCACATAAAGCGAGAATGTCGAAAGCTCAAAAACAAGAAGAAAATGTGTGACAAAAGTGTGGATAAGAAACAAGAAGACACAACGGCAGTTACTACCAATGATCTCATGGTCATTTGTGAAGATGATTGTATCAATTTTGTGGGCCAAGAGAGCAATTGGGTGATTGATTCTGGTGCTTCTTTTCATGTGACCTCTCGAGTTGATTTCTTCACTACCTACACCGAAGGAGATTATGGTTCTGTTCGAATGGGTAATGAAGGTTTGTCCAAGATTATTGGTATGGGTGATGTTTGCTTGGAAACAAATTTGGGCTGCAAGTTGTTGCTTAAAGATGTGAGGCATGTTCCAGACATTCGCCTCAATTTGATCTCTACTGGGAAGCTAGATGATGAAGGCTTCAACAACAAATTTGGTGATGGAATATGGAAGCTCACAAAAGGTTCTTTGGTGGTGGCTAAGTGTAAGAAGACTCACACACTTTATTCGATGCAAGGAAAAATTTGTAAAGGTGTTGTCAATGCACTTGAAGATGATACTTCTACCGAATTGTGGCACAAACGGCTTGGCCATATGAGTGAGAAGGGGCTACAAGTTTTGTTCAAGAAAGAGCTTCTACCCGGTTTGAAAGGTAGACATCTTAAAACTTGTGTTCATTGTTTGGCGGATAAACAACATAGAGTTTCTTTTTAGAAAAATGTTGCTTCTAGAAAAAAAAATATTTTGGAGTTGTTTCATTCAGATGTTTGCGGTTATTTAAAAGTTAGAACACATAGTGGTGCACTTTATTTTGTTACTTTCATTGATGATTATTCAAGGAAAGTTTGGGCTTTTCTACTAAAACTAAAGATCAAGTTCTAGAAGTATTTAAGCATTTTCAGGCCATGGTTGAAAGAGAAACAGGGCAGAAATTGAAGCGCATCCGATCAGACAATGATGGTGAATACATTGGGCCATTTGATGCGTATTGTCGCAGCCAAGGTATTCGGCACCAAAAGATAGTTAAGAAGACTCCTCAACAAAATGGCGTTGCCGAGAGGATGAACCGTACCATTATGGAAAGAACAAGGTGTTTGCTTTCGCAAGCTAAATTGCCAAGATCCTTTTGGGGTGAGGCAATGAGGACAAGGGTTGACGTGATCATTTTGTTTCCATGCTATGCTTTGAATGGTGATGTTCCTGAAAGAGTTTGGACTGGTAAAGATGTATCTTATGAGCACTTGAGAGTGTTGGGTTGTTGAGCCTTTGTTCATATTCCAAAGGATGAGAGGTCCAAGCTTAATAGTAAGTCAAGACAATGTATTTTTCTTGGCTATAGGTGTGATGAATTCAGATATAGATTGTGGGATCCGGTCGACAAGAAAGTCATTCGAAGTCGTGATGTTGTGTTCGTTGAAGACCAAACAATTGAAGACTTTGGCAAAGGTGATCAACCGGAGCCAAAAACTAGTGATCTCATTGAGATGGATCCATCTCCTTCATCTTCAGTTGATGATGAAAATGGGGGAGATATGCAGCCACCTATTGGAGATGTGGATGATGGTTCTAATCCTAATGAAGTTGAGCCCAAAATTGAGGAAGAGCATCCAACTCAAGAACCACCACCACAACTTGAGTTGAGGAAATCTACAAAGGACCGACAACCTTCGAGAAAGTATCCTCCCAATGAATTTGTGTTGATTTCCGATCAAGGGGAGCTAGAGAGCTACCAAGAAGCAATTGAGCATGCAAAGAAAGGTGATTGGAAAAAGGCCATGGACGAGGAGATGAATTCCTTGTTTGAAAACTAGACTTATGATTTAGTGAAGTTGCCTAAAGGGAGGAAAATTCTGAAAAATAAGTGGGTTTTCAAATTGAAGAATGGTGGCAAGAATCTGAGGTACAAGGCACGTCTTGTTGTGAAAGGCTTTGGGCAAAAGAAAGGTATTGACTTTGACGAGATTTTCTCACCTATAGCCCAGGAACTCCCTCTCCATTCTCAATGTGGGACACGAAGACCTTACAATCCACCTTCCTCAGGGCTGCACGTCCCCGTGCAGTAGCCTGCCAGCTTGCAAACCCGCCCACATGCACTGAGAGACACTAGGGGTCCACACTTGGTACTCCAGAGGGTCGGTTCTGATTCCACTTGTAACACCCTAACCCTTTACATGTCATCGATATTGTCCACTTTGGGCCACGCCCGCACGGATTTGTTCTTCCCAATGGGTTACCCATCCTAAAACTACTCTAGCCTAAACACACTTAATTGGGGAGTTCTGCTAGGGATTTCACCACCCTAGAAAAGGCCTCAATGCTATATAAGGGTCAAGATTTTTAATTTTATAGCCTAGGAACTCCCCCTCCATTCCCGATGTGGGCCACACTCGCACGGATTTGATCTTTCCAGTGGGTCACTCATCTTATAACTACTCCAACCTAAGCACGCTTAATTAAGGAGTTTTGCTAGGGATCTCACCACCCTGGAAAAGGCCTCGATGCTAAATAAGGATCTAGATTTTTACTTTATAGCCTAGGAACTCCCCTTTCCATGCTCGATGTGGGACATCGAGACCTTACAATCATCCTCTTTAGGGCTACATGTCCCTGTACAGTAGTTTTCCAGCTCGCAAGCTGGCTAACATATGCTAAGAGAACACTCAGTACTCCGGAGAGTTAGCTCTGATACAATATGTAATGCCCCAACCCTTCACATGTCATCGATTTGAGGCCTCCTCCAGGGTGGTGAAATTCCTAGCAGAACTCCCCAGTTAAGCATGCTTAGACTGGAGTAGCTCTGGGATAGGTGACCCATTAGAAAGAACAAATTCATACAGGCGTGGCCCAAAGTTGACAATATCGATGACATGTGAAGGGTTGGGGCATTACATATTGTATCAGAGCTAACTCTCCGGAGTACT